CCCCAAAACCCCAAAACCCCAAAACCCCAAAACCCCAAAAGATGGTAAATTAGTTGAAATATTATCTTATTGAAACTAAATTATTCTCTTTATGCTCGTCTTTTAAAGCCTTCAGTTTGTCTTTTAGGTCTTGGAACTCATCACAGGTTTTTACGTAGAAGCCGACACCTAAGCAAGTGTCTAGATGCCTCATATCTAGTGTCTTAGGCACGAATCAGCTGTAACTTTCAATACTGAAATCATCAAAATCTCATTTAGAAATTGATTCTTGTTCATAATGAGGATCAAGAAAGAGTAATCTGTCATCTTGGTAACCAACGAAATATAGGGCTTTGTTTTTCTTTCCACCCATCATCCCTACTCAGAACGGAATGTCAAAGAGATCTTTGATTACTTGAAAATAGTGCTCTTCTGGAGCTTCAAATCCTATTCTTACATTGACTAAAAGTTAGGGAAGCTAATAATTACCAATAATGAACAGATGTTTTTGCCAGAGTCTTGATTGGAGGATTTTATTATCACTTAACCTGGACCTTTTCCTATCAAAATCAAATATATCACCATCCTCTGTATCTCTTTTAACACCCCATGCTATTTTGTCATACTTCGGAGATTCTGCTTGGAAGAGTTGTCATTCTCAAATGCTGGAATTTTTCTTCTCAAGCTTTGCATCTTTATAGAAATCACCGACAAAGTCATATCCTTTCATTAAAGCTTCATCTTCTTTCTTTTTGGTTGATTTCTTTCATGTTCACTCAATCATGGATTTATTGTAGCATACTTTCTCATTGATTCCCGATTCATTACAGATAATAATTTCGAGGTTAGCAAAAGGCTTGTAGTGATTGTTCAGAGACTGAAGAATATTGGAGGCTGAGCTCACTCCATACCAATCTCCAGGAAGCTTCTTGAGAAGAGAAAAGCTATGCTCGATGAAATTTTGAATCCCAAATGGAGATTCTTTCTCAACTCCATTGTCTAAAAACAACTTTATGATTTCTCTTTTGGTTTCTTCTTCGTCAGGCTTCATTTCTGAGATGGTATCTTTTATCTTCATTCAGTGGCTTTGTTTTACATAATCTAGATGAATTTTCATTTTACTAATCTCAGTTTCTTTTTCATGAGTGAAGACTCTGGCAAGGATCATTTGGGCGACTCTAATCATGCATCCCCATCCAGTATCACTTGTCAAAATTTTTCTATCCTTGTTAAGTTCTTCTATATTAATTCCCTCTTTTTCAAGGAATTTCTTCCTATTTAGAAGGCCAATGAAATTCTTCCTGTATGTGAACCAAATAATCTTCTTGAATTGGGTAAGGAATCGACTTTTAGGTTTGTAGTTGTATCTTTTATTATACAAGTTAACTCTTGGATGAAGATCGTCGAACTCCAGCGGAGCCACTCCCACAATCTTCATAAACCCTTTGTCATGTAGCATGTAGTTCAGATTTGTAATTCCTCCTCGGATCACTCCCTTGTAGTACGACAGAGCATTCTTCGGTGCTGGGTTCGCAGGCAAGTTCTTCAGCTGAGACTCGCTAATGTCAACGAACTCGCCAATGGTCTCATAGCTGGAGGAGACTGAGTCTTGGCCTTGTCTGCGAATGCCTTTATTGTGGATGCTCTGAGGGACACTGACTGCTGACTTCTCACTGAAGTCATCGTCTAGTGAATCTCATTTGTGTTCTTCGAGCTCAGGTTTGTTTCTAAGCTTGGAAGCAGTGGAGCCAATGGAGGCTTCGGCTCCGAAGATGACACTATAGTTTACAAGGGTAGACTCAGCAGTGGGAGGTCCATCATATTTAGCTGACTTATTTATTGTTGTAATGGATTCACGCAGCTTATCCATGTTATTCTTAGGGCCATTATAATATTCAGGTTCGTTATCAGAATAATAAAGCTCCATTTTAGCTGGATCAATCATTCAGTAAGATTCTTCTGGATCAAGTATTGAAAATTCTGACATTTCTCCATCATCACTATTATCTCTATTCATTTTATTATTTCAATTTTGCTTTGTAATTTTGGGGTTTTGGGGTTTTGGGGTTTTGGGGTTTTGGGGTTTTGGGGTTT